ATCATACAGTATCCCGTGTTGGAAAGGACCCACAAGGATCACCGAGTCCAACTCCTAGCTCCATACAAGACCATGCAAAAATCGGACCAGGATTTCTAGCTGGGGCTTCTCCTGCAAGCAAGAAAAGTCACCAGAAGATTGTGAGGAGCAGAGGATGAAGCTCTCGTATTTCTGGCTGGTTCTCAACCCAGCAGCAGCACAGTATTGCTCCATGGGATGGCAGGTTTGTGCTCCTGCTGCTCCTGAGTGAAAGGAGGATGGGACAAGAAGGAGCAACTGCAGTTTTATCACACTTCATGTTGGCTACTGGGAAGAGATCAATATCATTAGATGTACAGTATTGAGCTGAATGTGACCCAGGACACGGTGGTAAATCTGCAATACAGCTATGCAGGGGCACACGGGGCTCCCCACCTTTAGTCCCTCCTTTGTTTCATTATTATTTCCTTCTTTTTCCAACACCAAAGTTGCTCAGCATGAAAAGCTGGGGAGTTGGACTGAATGACCTTTAAATGTTCCTTACCACTCAAACAGTCCTAGAACTCTATGATAAAATACCTGTTTGCTCTTTGCCCATGAAGGCCCTGCCACGTACCCACGTGCCAAACAACCACTCCTGTACATCCATAGATCAGAAATGTCAAACTCTTCTCCTGAGGCTGTCAGTAGTAGTTATCATTGCAGCCTAAGCTCTTCAGATTGTGAATGGTAATGCTGAACCTTCCAAACGGGCGATGTCATCTTGTCACCGTGAATGACAGATAATTTTGGCTCTTTCTAGATGCCTGTAATTAACATTGCTTTCTAACTTTGACATGAGCATCCAGAAACCCAGTAGATTGAGATATCCTTTGAAAACTTCGGCTTTCTCTCCTTGTCCGTTTCTTTACCCTGCAGGTCTTTAAATAAAGAAATCGCCAGCTGTTTAGTACAGACCATCCTAGAAGGGAGGTTGCAATTCAGAGCCCCAAATAAATACATGGATAAATATCAGAGTGAAGGCTGAAGCCAAGCGTTGGGTGCACACAGCCCTTCCCCGCCAGCATTCACACATGAATAATGCAGGGCATGGCACCGGAGAGTCACGGCCTTATCTTCAAAATCAGGATTGACTGCTACCAATCTCCCTCTGCCCTGTGCTTCCTAATATCCTCTGCCATTTCTGTCTTTTATCACCTTCATGCATCTATTTCTTCACATTTTTTGCTGCTGACCTACGGCAGCACGCTTGATTAGGGCAATACAATTTAATGTGTGGTGGATGCATAATGTCAGCAGTGGGCTCAGGTACCTGAAGAGCCCAGCAAAGAATAATAACTCCCTGCTCCACAGCCTGTATCGCTGCTTAACTACGTGACGCTGAACATCAATCAGGGAAGGATTAGGCTCTCCTGGTAATAGATAAACAGCAAAATGAACAAGATCATCTAAGCTCTTCAAACAAAATGATGTATTTTTAGTCTATGAAAATTCAAACCAGGTCTCAGCCAGAGAACCAGAAAAAGCAAAACAAAGATTATTGAAAGCTTATGTTTAAACAGTTTCAGTCCAAATATTTACTGATGACACAAAAAAGAAATGAGAGTATGTTTTGCAAGGAAGAGCTGGACCCTTTAATTGCATAGGAAGCCAGGTTTGGGGAATCAAGAGAGAAAATAAACATGCCCCCTGCAGAATGCGCTGCAAAGCCTGCACATTTATTTACATTCCCATTTCTCTTAACCTACATTCCCCATGACAGAAGTGTTGTTTTGGGTAATAATCCTTTTCATATAGGCCAAGACTACAAGAAACTATTTGCAATTCATTTCAAATATGGATTTTGGAATCTACAGTAAATCCCCTCTGCTAAGATAAAAAAAAAAAAAAGCACAAAGAAAGAACAACATGCTGCTTAATCTTTGGGCTCATCACAGCCTGGAAGATTATTTTGACAGTTAATTTGATACATTTAACTGAGCTCCCAGTCTATATTACTCAAAGAAAGCCATCACTCATGACTTGCTGTTGTGTAGGAGCATTCCAGACAGCTGCAGCTTCTTTTGAAGAAATATTAACAAGGGGAAAGATTGTACGTTGCTGTTTCCTTGCTGTTGGAACTTAGTCCTCCCAAAGCCCACAGCACATCCTGAGTGCCTCTCCCTGGCTCTCAGCAGCTGCTCCTGAGACAGTGCACAGACAGCAGGAAAGCAAAAGGTCTCCGTGGGGTTGCTTCCAGCTGCACCTCCTTGCCAACCATGGTGTAGAAGTGTCTTCATCCCTGCACACCAAAATACAGATGCACCCTCAGGGACAGCTATGGCCATTGGTGCACAGATACACGTGGCTGTGGGATCCGTGGAGGAGTGGGAGGCCACCACATGAGCACTGCCATCGGCCTCCCCTGAAACTGCTTTCCTTCCCTGGGGCAGATTTGCTAAGGTGCAGCTTATTGCAGCACAAAGCACCGCTGCTCCTGCAAGTCAGAAAACAAGGGAGGCTGTTGTGCTGCAATTACAAAAAGTAGGTCAGATCCCACAAATGCAAACAGACAGGGAAAGGTGCTTGTGTTTCTCTATGCTCATCTTTGGGAATAGCTCTGTAGCAAGGACCAAAAGTCCTCAAAGGACGGTGCTAAAGTGTAGCTGCCCAGCATTGTTCACTGGTCCTCAAGGATGCTCACAACTGGGCATCCCCTGCAAGAAGCACGGCATCCTCACACAGCAGCTGCTCCAGGGTGGGGAGCAGATGCACCAGTGCAACAGACAGGGCAGGAGGAGATAGCAGCTGCCTCTTTTCGCACAACCTCTGCTGTGTGTTCTCCTCCCACAGACAATGCCAAGGAGTTGCAGAGATCAGAGACACTGGATAGTGGTCAGCAGCAGAAGCAGGGTGATTCCTGAGGTCAAGCCAGATGCTCTGGGATGCTTTTGGCCAGCAATCTACACTTTTGGCTGTGTGCATACTTGTTATTTCCTGTCAGAACATGAGGCTAAAGGCAATAAGCCAACAGTTTTCTAAGGCAAGGTGAGAACTGCAGCACCATTTAATTAAGCTGTTGCTTTAAATGCGCTCCAGCATTCCTCCAGCCTGCTGGAGACACAGGAGCTGATGAACATGTCTGCAGTCTCTTCCTCCTCTGAGAGCACATTTTAATTACCCCCCCCAGCCCACTTGCACCAGATGGCACTTATATACTCTCTGCTGAATGATGGCACTTTCTGCCCCACAGGTGATGCCAGGCACTGAACCAAGGAGGCTTCTGGAGCAAAATCCTTGGGGACACCAAACAACCTGAAGGACAGATCATCCAGTACAAGGAGCTGCCTTGGTTGTATTGAGCTAAGAGAAGAAAGAGGAGCCAAGGCACCAAGTGTTCATTGTGTCCCCAACATGGATCTGCAATGTGGTTCTCCCATCTCCAAACCTTGGGGCCAAGTGGCTTTGTTGCCAGACTTGCACCTCCTATCCCCAAATCCCAGCATAGCTCAAAGAACATTCTGCTGCAATTTGCAGCAGTAGCTGCAGATGTGGTGCTCCCAACAGCGTGCTTCACATGTGCAAGGCTTTTTCCAGATTGTGCAGTGTCAAAAAGTTGGCACAGGAACAGTGGTATGGGAGCAAGCTCACAGCAGCAATTCAGGTTGGCTGCATATTTCCTCAGCATGAATATCCCTGTTCCTCAACCATGGCTGCAAATCAGGAACTGCAATGAGAAATGCTTAGTTTTCTAGAAGAAAGGACGTGGCTTTCTCTGGGGTCTGACTTCAGAGGATGCATTGCTGAGGTTTGAGTTGCCCTGCCCAAGTTGTGCCCACAGACCACAAATGCTTTCCTGCTTTTTAAGATCTCAGAGAGAAGAGTCAAGAGAGATCTGCGCCCATACTGTCAGGCTCACAGCTCCCTGCATTTCTTCCCATCCATGCTGGCAGCCACCTAGAGCCCCACAAAGCGAGGTTCTGCAGGTGTGCACAGGGATAAGCCCTTTGGCTTTATGAGGTGGGAATCAGCCCTTTGAGTCACCCATTGAGAACTACCCCATGTGCCACAGTGCAGACAGGCAACCCAGACCTTCACTCAGTAGCTGAACCTTTGTTTATTTCAGTCATCACCAGACCCTACAGAGAGCTGTGAGAGATCTCTTCTCCTTCACCACCATCACCCGAGACACCCAAAGTATTTCCAACCAGAGATTCAGCATATTCTTACCATAATAGATGTGCATAGCATTAAAAATAATTGCATTTTTTTCATTATTTTTTATGACTTAACAACTACAATTGCCAAATGCTTTTCTGCAGCCTGGCTATTAGAAGACTGCATTAGCGAATGGGAGTTCATTTGCTCCAGCTGACTCACTTTGGGCCTCATCTAAGCCCATTAAAATGACTTTCTGCTGTCTTGAGAATATTTTGGATGAGGCTCTGCTGGTGCTAAGCACACTTGGAAGAGCAGCCCTTCCTAGCAGAGTGCAGATGAGCCAAGGCCATGCCTGCAGTGCTCTGCTGGTGCCCAAAGGGCAGTGCCAGGACAGGATGGGGCCATTCCAGATCTGACTCCATTGTGCACATCCTTGGGAAGCATCAAACTTGTTAACCACGAGAGCAGCAGAAAAAGAATTCTCACTATAAATATTCACAAGATCACAGGCAGCCCAGCAAATCCTCTCTAAATGAAGGAAAATAAATTAGGAGAGGACGCTGTCCTGCTGATTAAATCTTAACCCCCACTCCCTGCGATGAGCTGACATTTGCTGGCTCAGATGCAGCAGTTGCACAGACAGCCCCTCCGGCTGCTGGTGACATTCAGGGATGACTCTGCCTTGGTTTTAGCACAAGAAGGTTTGATGGCACCAGTTCTGCAAGGAAAGATGAGCGCTGGTGCCCCACCACCACTGCATGGTGCAGGTGGTGCTCACCCCCAGCTTTCCTTCCTCGTACTGACAGCAAACCTGTTGGCTGTTGTATAGCCAGATCCCAATTCGCCTCAAAGAAAGGCAAACTGGAAGAAAAGGAATGCCCTTTGCAGTGTGTACTGAGCCCTGTTTAATTTTTCATTTACAATTATTTCCTAAGCAGCACTCGAGAGTTCAGGTGGTAACATTAAAAATTCCCCGCGCCCTCAGCTTTCCCTAATTAAAATTGACAACCCTCATTTTGAACCACAAACATAATTATCCAGTCCTGCTCACCGGCATGATGGCTGAGATTGTTTGTTGATAATTTATGAGCGCTGGGGAAGATGAATAACAAAGCAGAGGCTCTGAGAAGCCTCTCAGCTCCTGCCTTTGAAGTCACAGAGGTGCCAACACAGACATCCCCTTCCCGTGCCATCACTGCTAAGGTGACATCCGTGGGATGTGGGGTTCTGCTGCTTTGGGGGTGCTTTTCTGGAAGGTTTCTAGGAATACCAGGGCAAGTGCTCAACCCCAGCTGCTCTGTAGTAGGGAAAGCATCCCAGGTGGCTCAGGGCACCCTTGGAAGGGTTGTCATTGGGTGAGCTCTGCCCCTGCATGAGAAGTCTGTGCCACAAACCAAGCCAACAACACACACCGAGTGACTGCCCAGGAACAGCTTGAAAAAATAGCTCCCCCAAACCAAACTGATTTTCCCCCTTGGTTATCCCATACTTTCCTTACTATCTACGAAAAAATAGTTGTATCATAAAGCCATAATAAATCATTTTTTTGTGCTTAGCTCATCCACAGACCACTGTGCACAGCAGCAGCTCCTACAGCAGCAATTAGCCCCTCCATATGCTGGAGATGGAGCAGGATACAGGGGGGCAAGCAGGGGAACATCAGCTGCAGAACCCAGACTCCTTCCTCAGAGCCATCACAGCTTCTTTACAGCTGTGCAGTACTGCAGGGGAGGAAGCTGCTACAGAAGGAACAGCAAGAGGACAAAGATCAGTGCATCCTCTTCGAGGTACTTTTTGCCTTCTGGAGCCCATACCTCAAGTGGGCTCTCCAAAGCCAGCCCCATGAAGCATGCTTGTTCCACACAGGCTGAGTTTTGGGGAGGGTTTTTCATTGGTAGCCATGCAGCTGCAGGTGGAAAATCAGGTTAAACGATCCAGAGGACATGAGCAGCATCAACCACCCCAGTGATGGAGCAGACAGGCACCAGGTGTTGGCCAAGTCACTGTTTACCAGGTGAGGGGAAGCAGTGAAATAAAAGAGATGCATTTCGGTGATTGTTCAGTGTTGGGGTTATTTAGGGAAAGTTTTTGCTCTCAGGCATTTCTAGCATGGGAAATGAAGTGCTAGTTGGATTGGAGTTTTTTTCTGATAAAAACTATTGCTTGTGTTTGCAGATGGCAAGAGTGTGGGGTTATTCTGCAGACCAAAGCTGCTGTATATCTGCATCTGGAAGGAAGCTGGAATTAACATTGCGCGGCCATATACATTAATCTATAAAAGATTCCCCTCCTGAGAGCTGGCTCAAGATGGCCATGAGGATGTTGGGTTGGCCTCAGCACAGACCAATGACAGTATTCTCCATCCAAGCTCTGTCCATGCTCAAGGGTTCATCAGGTCCAACATCAATAGATGAACTACTGCCACTGCAGAAGTTTGTCCCCAGCAGGAAAAATAATTGTGATTATCATCAGAATTCATTTGCAAGATGACACCACACTGAAAGAAACAGATAGAAAAGATTCAGATCTTCCAGGAATCAAACAACTCATACCTTAAGAATAAAAGTCCTTCTCCTGTTTTCATTTTGGAGTTGCATTAGGTCTGTTTGGTAATTTTTTCCCCCCTTCCCAAAATGGAAGTGAAAGATTTAAAGGAAAATCAAGATGGCTCTTTCTGAAAATGTTAAAGTTTCGATCTGAAGAGATTTTTTTATACCAGCAGCTTGGTGAAGCCAAGAAGAATGCCTGAAATATTAAAATATTGGCACATCCACTCAAAACCCTTCTGCTTAAAGCAGAACCTGTCTCTGCCTCCAGCTGTTACTGGGGTTTTCCTCTGATTTCAGGTCATTCTCAACCTGTTTCCCTGCTGCTGTTACCATTATTCCATCAATAAGCTACATGAAAAATGACAAACCACTGAGAAACAATTAATATCCATCTATATCCTTTGACATTAGCAAAATGCTTCATTTACAAACCAGCTCTGCATGCAGCAACCCAGACACATGCCTCAATTGCACCCATTTGTCACCAACCCATCCCTCACAGCACATAGGGTGAGTGCCAGACCCTGAACCAGGATGGGACCCTCAGCTCCTGGAAAGAAATACTAGGGGAGCTCAGCATCACCCCAAACGTGGCCTGGGTAAATCAGGAGTGTGGTTTTCTCCAAAGACTCATGAAGGCTTTGGTTATGTGTGAGCATCACAGGTAGCTTGTTACCTGACTTGGCTGTGCTATCAATCCCAGGCAGGAGCTACCAAGATCTGTAGTAAAGCTGCAGAGGAAAAGTGTTCCCTTGCAGCTAAAACCTAAGACAGACAGAGGTCACTGCAGACTCTCTACTTTTCCCTCTGAAGCATGAGGGGCAGAGGTACAAGGTGGGCACAGATGGGTTCGTGGAATCTTTAAGTTGGAAAAGACCACTAAGTTCATTCAAGCCAACCACCAACCCATCCCCACCATGCCCACTGACCACGTCCCTCAGTGCCACATCTACCCTTTTCTTGAACACCTTTAGGGATACAGGCAGTCTCAGAAAGAAGGGCTCTTCCATGAGATCACCGGCATGCGCTGAATTAAGAAGTACACAACAAGTTGTGTGTACACAGCTGCTGGCACCAGCTCTTATCACAGGTTTGCTATCAGCACAAAAACAGCTTTAAACAATCTCTCATGAAAAACAAGGGTCAGGATTTCCCCAGTCAACACAAAGAAATCGCACATCTTGGTGTGCTGCGTGCAGGAGCAGAGCTCGCGTCTGGGATCACGCTGCTACTCCAATGCATATTAATGGCCTGAATTTAAAGCAGAGTGAGGGAAGCAGGCAGCTGGGTTGCCAAAATTCCCCATGCACACTGTGAGCCAGGCAGGATGTCACCATAGCTCCCAGTGCTGGGGTCAGCATCACACCCTGTGACAAGAGGACCCGTCGCTTGGCACAGCTACCAGCAAGCAGAGCTTGAGATGATTATTCAGCTCAATCACTGGCACAATTGTCAGAAATTTCTTTTACTTTTAATCTGCCCTGTTCAGCATCTTGGTTATGCAGAATCAGAGATACTGCCATGCCTGGTGCTCACTATGTTATGTAGTTCTGGTGGTTCAAAGACAGCAAGTACTGCTACCAAGGCAGGAGTGGAGTCCCAGCATCTGCAGCTGATGGATGGAAATGAGAGGGTTTGTGTTAATTGAATACATGGATTTCATTTTCTTGTGGAAGCTTAGATTTTAGGTTACATTTCACTCTCTGTACTACAAAGTAGAAGAAAATGTGTTTTTTAGTACTGAGCTAGTATTTGCACAGCTCTTGTCATTCAAGCAGAGCATCTTACAGTCAACAATTACCTCTATCTTCCCAGCATCTGCGTGAAGTAGAAAATCCCTGCCTGCAATGAAGGGTGGAGAAATAAAGCACTGCAAGTTTCAGCTATCTGCAGTTCCAGGAGACTCTGAACACTGCCATGGGGAAAACCCAGGGCTACATTGAAAACCATCCAAACCTATTCTGAGCACCACAAACCCCATGGCCACGTTGGGCAGCCTGATGACAGTGGCCAAGTGCAACTCCGGTGACATCCGTAAGACTGAACCACAACCAGCCCTTCTCCTGAGCTGGGAAGGCCAGGGCAGGTTCTCCCAACCACAGACCATGTTGTGGTGTTTGCCTGAATCCAACATCAGCACAAGCCTCCATGAGCCTACCTTGCACCTCTGCTGCCTTCATGAGTTCTGTGTTGGCAAAGGAAAGCCCTGCAGCATGGTGATGCTCACCATCCAACAAGGGAGGAGTGCAGCAAGCCACCACCTGGGATTATGAGAGCGAGTGGTTGGCACAAAGATTAAGGGAAAGAAAAAAAGCCCTAAAACTACCCATCCCACCTCCCCTTAAAACTCATCCCTTAAATTAATGACATCCTCAGCCCATCCACGCCGGTACAAAGCCACAGCAGACACCGCACTGCTGTTGTCAGTGTCTTCAAAATAACCAAAAATGGGACAATATACATAATACAAAGAAACCTGCACATAATGTAATCATTGTGGTTATAATTTCCAGTAAGATCTACATGGGTTAGACTTTCTATATAATTAAATCTATAGATTTCTCTCTCGTGCTTACCTTGCAGTTCCCTGAGCTCTGATGAAAAGTGTGCTGTTTGCAACAAGATTTATTGCATCCAGCACTCTATATTATAGCTGCTCTGCTAACCACAGTAAACAAGATATGAAAAGCAATCACACAGATAATGCCATGGAGGAACAAGCACCCACTCTGTCTTTAACCCTTTCCTTCATGCTGGAGGTGTCAGGCAGCATTTCCGTGCCACCAGTCTGCTGCATTAGGGGTCTTGTTTCTGTTCTTACAGAGCCAGGGCTTGGGTTTCTCATTCACCTCATTTCCAAATTGTCAGGAGAGGTGGCTTTAACCTCCAGGGCTACCAGGGGGCACAGCCCACAGAGGGAAGAACACTAAATAGGCAGAGCCAGGCCAGCTGCCCTGCTGGGACATCCTGGAGCTGCTCTGGGCTCAGCAGGATGCCGGCCCAGGAGATGGTGCTCTCATTTGTAGTGGTTTGCACCACAAAAGCTTGGATTTGACCCTAGAGACTTAGAACCATTATTTAAAGGGCACATTTTCATACAGAGGTCAAGTGCAGATATGTACGCTTAATCAAGTCATTGCTCACAAGCGGAATAGGTCCCCTGCTGCCCACATGGCACAGAGCATTCCCTCAGCCTCCCCTTTTTCCCTCCTTTAAATCTTCACCAGATCCAGAAAAACACCCCAGGGACAGGAACAGCAAACAAAGACAAGAGTAACAATGATAAAAATCTGCTTTTCACCATTCCCATCCTACTTATGCAAACAGTGAGCACATATCCCGTGCACCTAACCAAATAAATAAAGCTCTGCTAAACATCAGCACGCGGGAGGATGAGGAAGCAAGCAGCCACTTGTTTGCTGCCTTACAAGTGGAAATTGTTGTCCACTCCAATTCAGTGGAATGAGAAAAATCACTGCTCTATTACAGTATTTTCCATCCCAAACTCAGTTAACCATTTACAAACAGGACAAAGGCTCCAAAGATGCTTAATTGCTCCTTTATACAGAAGCAGCTGCTCCCTTTCCTTCCTGCCCACTTTCCTCCAGCTGTAAGCCTGCCTGCAGCCAGACAGGAGCTGTCACAGCTCTCATCCAGGCAGAAGTCCTCCAGAATAATGAGCTCCTTCTGAGTGATGCTGAGGTCGGACAGCAGCTGAAGTACAGATCGAACTGTTCTATCAAGGATAGAGAAGTTTAAACGTGCTGGAAATAAATGTAAAAATAGACCGGGGTCTGCAGCCCAAACAGAGCATATATTTAGAAGCTGTGAGTGGGAAAGAGCATAACATTCCTGGAAAACATTCAAAAAGCATCCAAAGAAGATTAAAAGATTTCCAAGCAGAAGTTTTTAAGGCAGGTTGCTAGGGATGCTAGAGAGGGCCAGTAAACTCCACCCCTCAAAACATGTTCCTTAAAAAGCCATTTTTGCAAGGGGAATGTTGGTTCTGGAAACTTCCGAGAAAGGAGTTCTTTGGTATCTAGCAGGCCTGAGAAACAGCTTCAGGGCTGGTGACAAACAGCTCTGGGAGGGACCCAGAGTGACCCAACCCTTTCCTCACCCTGGCAGTAAGGGTTTGTCAGAAGCATTTTCCCCATCCAGGCTGTTCTTCAATTTCTCGAGGCAGAAACTGTCATAAAATCATTAAGGTTGGAAAAGACCACTAAGATCATCCAGCCCACCTGCCATCCAGCCACCCCATCCACCTCCTCAAGTCAACCCCATCCCCAGCCTCCCTTCCTATGCCCCACATGCCCTGCTCACTGCAGCTTAACACTGCCCTTCCCTGCCCCATCCATTATATATATATATACATATATATTTTTTTTTCTGTATAACATATTCAGATGTTTATGCCAAATAAACTTTGGCAGGAGTGGGTCTTTCAGGCTGATAGAGAGACAGCAAGAGACTCATCTTCTGAGAAAATGACACTAATAAGGCTGAAGCTTTCTTTGCTAGTTTTTCTCCTTGTTATTTCTCTTAAGAAAATAAACCTTTGTGACACATGCTGCATATACAGCTCATTAGTGCAATGCATTTGATGGAGACAGGGTGTGTAAGAAAGGGCAAGAGGCAGAGCTGGCCCTCAAGAGCCACCAAAAGCTGTCTGTGCCCCAATTCCTGCCTTCACAAGCATGGTTCCCTGTGACATAAGCTGGATCCACTGATTTTTGGCCCAGCTGAGAAACAGTCCAAGACTTGTATACAAAAATGAGGATTCTGTTATTGAAAGATTACTGTCAAGGAGCTGAAACATGCCTGTTGTTCCAGAGCACAACCCCGAGCATCTTTCTAGAACACAAAAGCAGTGATTGCTCTTGCCAGGGACAGGGGCTTAGTCTATTTGTAATATAATAGAAGAATTTCAGAGATTTGTGCCTTATTG